ATTACGTACCTTCACTCTTTCAGGCCAGGCTTCCGCGTATATTCACCGTTGAGGGCAGCTTAGTAAAAACGGAGAATAGAAATTGAGTTGACTGCACTTGTCCGAGCCCACGATGGATAAAATCAGACCCGGCCACTTGGCTAAAACTTAGGTACCAAACATTGAAAATGTGGCTCAAATTTAACTCTAAGCATTTTTTGTTATATGTAATATAACTACCCTTTCCACCTAAATAGTAGCAAGAAATTACACCATAAACTATGGTTACGTCAACCATGGATGTACATGCGTCAACCAAGTGATTTGTTGAACGCTTATAACAGTGCGGGCGCTCAGCACGATGTATGACAAAAAAAGAGAAAACCAAGAGAAAATATGTCACAGTCGTTTCATTTCAGCTATTGGGACTCCTAAAATGATGTTTTTATTTTTTTACGGGGATTTTTCCAAGGAAGTACGTTAGATATTTGACAATTTATGTAGAGTGTCTAAACTTGTAACGCCGTCACGGTACCGGGTCAAAATCATGGTTATCTTTATTTACGGTTGTTCAGCATTTCAAGGAGTCATATTGGCTAATCACGGTGTATAATTGTATAATTTTTATTTTTTGGTATATTGCATTTCGTTCGCATCGAAAACTCACATTTCTACTCCTTTCTTTTGCAGGAAATTGTCTCACCAATATGTAGTACGATACATATTTAGAAGAATAATCGCTTTCATGTATCACCCGGCACGTACTTATTTTGCATTGAGATTAACATTGGAATCTTACGCCGTAGACGTTCATATATTGGCCACCGTCAAGCTCATGGAAATGCGATGGCTTCATGTGCTGCTTCATCGCCGATTGGACAAATCAGCCACGGAGACTGCGCAGTAGCTCATCCTTGCTTGTCAACGAGCTTCTCGTTGCTAAGTAAACTGTAGCTTTCATTGTTCCTTTGAAAAACGCATGACAAAAGTCGGTGCAACAATTAAAAGAATCGCATCTCATGATTAAAGTCCCGAGGCCCTAACCGACGTAACTTCCCCCAGTCAATGCTAAAACGCCATCCTGTTAGTAGGGAACATATCAACAGTACTGTCGACACGGCGTCACAGCGTCGTGACGTATCTTGAGAGAATAGACATAGCGGTTAAAAGTTATACTGCGTTGACGGCTGGAAAGTGAAGGTATTTACAGGGTGGATTGCGATGTTAAACGTCGTTTACGTGACTTAACGGTACTGGACGGGAAAACGTGGTTGGTGTTTCTGCTTGTGAAATACAAGTCGTTTTGCGGTGGATTAGATAAAGGCACAAGCGGGGTCAGCATAGAAAGACAAAACAAAAGGAGTAATATATCAACGTCAGTTCAGTGTGTCGATAGAGGAGAGTTGTGTTTGTGTGTGCATACCTGTTGGATATTTTCCATTATGTCGGGTTTTACCTCATCTGCAATTCAATGGTTCGCTTTGGTGAAGGGGCAAAATGGCGTCTATGGTGCTGGGGTGACATACTTGCGTTCCCGTTACTAGACAGTCGTTCGCCGATCTAGGAAAACATCGTTATATTATGAAAAAGGCTGATATATCGTACTGTACATAGCATACAGAAACAATGGTGGAAAAAAATAAACCACCGGAACCTGAGTATGGCGATTTTCGCTTGTTGACACAAGAATCGCTCAATCGATTAGAACAGAAAGTAAAAACCCTCGAGGATAAACAAAAACGGCTTCAAAATGTTTCACTCAGTAAAGCCAGTTTGTCGACTCTCGATGAGTTGGAGGAACACCAGACGATTAAAGGGAAAAACCCCGATCTTGAGGAAGGAAAACCACTCCCCGAGCGATTGGGAGCGGTACCAAAACACTTATTTGGGAAGCCATTGGAAGAGATCGATCAGGGTCAATATATTAACAGGGTAAGTTTAGTTCTATTTTCTGACCCCTTCCCCATATATGTGGGTTTCACTCTAGTTTTCTAGTTGCACACATGTGGTGATTGTCATATATTAAATTATTCTATCGTAATAGTCCCCATGTATGTACATAATCGCATTCAACATACATGTAACTGAAATAGTTAAAACATCTGGGAAAACATGAGCGTTTGTACAACGACGAAAACAAGTCCATACAAATTATACTCAGAACAAAGACGCCGCGTAAACGAGCAAATAAAGTGTGGCTGATATAATAGATAAGAATAGCCATTAAAGAAGAAGGAGAAAGAACAATACATTCATATTCATTCTGGATTCGGTAAACATCTATTATGAAAACTGGCGTAAATACTTGGACGGCACAATAACTGTTATTACCCGCATCCACTGAACTACAGTCCCTCTGTCTATGATAGAGGGACTGTGACTGAAAATTGAATAGATGGGTGTTATTGCTATGTAACCTCCAAATCGGCTGAAACTGTTACTTCACTTCAGTAACGTAAAGAACATACAATACAATGTTATTATAAATGCAATATACAGTGTAAGAATGAGTCTCGAGATAAGCCAAAAATTGAAATTATTGTTTCATTAATTTAAGTATTGTTTTTGTTCATAACGTAATTAGGTAACTTATTCGCCTACATCGCACTACATTTCGTGTATATATTCGGCTCCGCCTTATCATAAAATTGTCAGTGTATAATTGTATCCTCGCGACGAACGGCTTCGGAAATAGCGGAGGCACTAGGGTGGAATTGTTATATCCTCAGCACACAATATACTTAAAATTACTAGTAATTGAATTTGAAAACAAGCCACATGTGTTTGAAATCGACAGTAAATGGAACCACTTTACATGTGTGCACAGGTAAAAGCATTCTCAAGTTCAATCAATACTGTTGTTTTCAAGTTCAGTTCACCATAATTTCCTGTGATCCATGGCAACTTGCTGAATTTGATAACCTCAAACTAAGAAGCATGTAACTATGTTATATATTGCATTACGAATTACAACATTGTCCGTTTCAAGATAACAGTATATCCGATAATGGAACCATCCAGGAAATGAACAACAACAATTTGTCTCGGCCGGCGTAGGTCCAATTAAATAAAACTGACCTGTTGTTAATGTCATGCGATGTACGTTATGTACTACGCTTTCGCACCCTTTTTTTATTTTATTCTGATCAGACATGATATGTAATGTACGCAGCACTAGTCTGTTTAAAGAGTTATTAATTATGTATATGCATGGATACAATGTATTTCAATTTGTTCTACCTTGAGTTAATGAGCCGCTGTTTTGAAAATAGTTACACCAACGTGTGCGATGGTACTGTGTTTGCTTCCTATCGGGAACTCGGAAATTCTGCATCAAATTCTGATATAATATTTGAAATATAACAATTGATTATTAAATATTCACATTTGTTTTCTTACGACTCAAGTTGAGTGATGTCTTAGTTGGAACAACATTACTGTATTGCAATTTGAATTGTTAGCTTTGTAGATTTTAAATACGGGAAATGTATGAAATATGAATGTATAAATATACTGCAGACAATCAATTGAATATCGATGAATTATAAATATCTCATTACTGCAAAGTGTCCGACTCAAAAGATGAACAGACAGACACTTTTTAAGCAGCCTGTCAAATCATCTTTCTCGAAGATAAAATGATTGCCATGATATGAGGCACGTATATTGTGCCAATGCATTCCTAGCACATGTTATGTGGGAAAAACAACGTAAACTTCTACGCATAGAAGAATGCAATTATGAAATATGTGCATATAGGAAGATATTAGTTGTCGATATAGCATGTATATATTTCTAATAAATAAGTCAAAATGCAAGTGATAATATATTTTGTTTCTTCTAAGCTTCTAAGCTTTAGCTTTGCAAATGAATGAATGAATGAATGAATGAGATGATGGAATGACCTGAACATTTGACACACCTATACCTGTGGAGAATAACAATTCCGTCGCTGATTCCATAATATGTGGGACTCAAACCTTGTTTTTTTTAAATAAGTGTGTGGTAAAATACTCTCAATGAAAAAATGCGTGATATGCATGAAAATACACCTTGAACTGACGTTCGTTGTTTTATTTTGAAAGTCTGTGCTGGTTGTTGATTACTATCGTTTTATAATTCATAATTGTAATTAATTCCAAAAATGAAAAACTGGAGATAATTACTGTGTGGATTTGTGGGAAGCCTTAACCTACCAATTACATGGTTCACTAAATTGTTGATGTCACCTAAACCTGTATGAATAGGTTATATACATAACTGCTGGTGCAGGCTTTGCATAACAATTTTCAGTTGCTGAATAGTGCGACACAGGTGTTTCCTCGAAGCGTTTATTGAATCACGTGGCATGTTCACCTCGAGTGATTGGTCTCATTTATTCAGATTGAAATGTGTTTAATTTATGACCAACACAACGTAGTATGGCGCTATTGTATAAAGTACACATATGTGTAGATCAAATAGGTTATTTGCCATAGGTTCATATATCCCTAGAACGGGTGGAACGGGTGTTCCGAGAAAAGGGTTGCGGTGCATAACGATAAGATTTTCTAAAGTCTAAATTTTGCAAATGCCGATGTGGCGATGTATGTCAAGGTGGTTTTTATGTATGCTGCATCAACACATACAGTGTTGATGTGTTTTTTTGGGTGCCAATTCAATGCTGTGTCCATGTATGCCGATGTGGCAGTCATGTCGATTTGTTTATGTTGTCAATGTAATGGTGTATTCCGATGTGGTGCATGGTGGTGTGTGTCGATTATGATATGATAAATAATAATATAATAGAATTTTTATTTGAAACCTTGCGTCCAATAATAACAACAAAACAAAACAAAATATACATAGCTAAAACATGTAAAGAATATAGAAAATAAAAATGCTAAGAAGGAATAATAAGAAATAATTCATCCATGCTAAAATCTTCAAACTTTGGAGCATAGATGTACAGGGCTGCAAGGAATCTAGATCTATGTTTTTTGATTTGACAATTATTACAATATAAAATGTAATGTTTTCTTATCCCCTACTGTATGTTACATGTATGCTGATGGGGTGGAATATTCCCAAGTGGTGCGATAGCGACGTTGTGCTGTTTGCCGACGGATGTAATGAGGTGGTGGCTGTGACGTGTAGTGCAATAAATCATCAGCTCTAAAAGTAACATAAGATTAGAGGTTTTGCAATGACTGACAAACGCACACATTTTAATTACAGCGGGACCGTGCAACATATTTGTAATATATAATATTGCCCGGAAACACGTAGGAAATATAATATTTCAGATTATATTCATGTGTATACGCCTGGTAACATATTTTTTCACTTAAGGCATAATAACATTGACAATACACGGCATTGTATACAACTAGAGATATTGGTGTGCTTTCGGATGACGACGTACATGTAAAGCTATCGACACGTGTGATGTTTCTGACGTCAGTGAACGTGAGTAAACAGAAAGTCTTTTTTCAACAGAGCTGTAAATAGGACAAGCTCCCTGGTCGGCGCTGGTCTTCCATAATTTGGAAGTCCCCGTTAATCATGAGTCAGCCATTTTGACTCGAAAAAAGCAAATGCATATTTAATTTATTAAAAAAGAAAATGTATATTACTTTGATGCATTACAATAGTCGTTATTTTGAATTGCATCAACAAATGATTATATATGTGACATTTTGTATGGTATATGTACAAAGTTTGAGCATGATCAGTCATAGCATGTATCAGAAACAACATTTATTAAAAATGGCCGCCACAAAGGTCATTTAAATCCGATCTGAAAAACTAAATAACCCATAATATCCAATGCATATGCAAAGTTTGAACGTATATACACGACTGAGATCCGTTTACGGAATGGCAATGCTTGATTTTGATGAATTTTCAACATTAAACATGACTGACCAGTGTGTCTCGAGACCAAATACCACTATTGTGACATATATAGCTTTCCATCACGACTAATGCTGTGTTATCACGTGACATCGTACCAGTTCAACTGTGACAAACACCTTTATCGATATAAATCGGGTAATTTCCCACTAGAGATATCAAGCCATTTCTTAGAACAGGATGCCTGATTGATGTAAATCGGTTCGCGTCTGGTCCAATACATTCTTGTCATCACGAAAGTACAATTAAAAGATAAACATGGCGATGCTTGGATGGCATGCAGAACACTGTTTTTTAGACAATTTTTGTTTTGATTGTTCTTTGAGGGGGTCGTTTTACTGGGACATCACTTGTCGATTCGATAGCTTCACCATGGACGCATTGTTGTGGTATGCTAGATTGAAAAAAGGTCAGGTCTATTGCCTTACTTCTATGTGTCATTATATATTATCTCTGTCCATGGGTCTGCCCTTAAGAAACCTCTTTACCTACGTCATCATTTCCATTGATTCGCATGACAATGACGAATCAGTCGAACTTTATAGTTTCCAGGACGATCGTGTCTTCTTCCAGTGCACGCGTCAATACAACAATTGTTTGATTTTGTTTGCCGGTGCTTTTTAACGGACGTGTTTTCTATCTATTTGAACTGCTTTATTGTTCTGCCATTGTTCATTCAATATGCAATTCTACAATTCAACAATTCTACTCGTGAGGAAATAACAGGTTATAATTAAAATAAAATATGTTTCAATATGGAATGTAATAACCATGCAATGAGGTGGCAACTAAATTTTTACCTAGACTAAATATGTTCAAATAAAATAACTATTCATAAGAACCGCGCATATAGGCCCCAAAGAGACAATGCAGATACATATGATTTCGTTGTGCCTGTTTTTTTAGCTATTGTGACATGTTATAAGCGACCACTGTACAGACTGTGAAGTACAATATTGGCGATAGAACGACTTATTGTGCATTTACGGAATCATGTTTTATATTGCAAGGTAATATTTTCAAATTAAGCACAGTAA